CGTTATATAACTCTATTTAAATTTATTCAAATCTCGATTATACTATTTATTAATAACAAAAACAATTCAAGGAATAATTTTTTTTTTAAATTATTTTTACTAGATTGGCCAAAAACTTCTGCAACACTTGCGAAAAAGTTGATTTTTATGCGCAAATTTATTTAAAAACAATAACAACTACTCTTCAAAATGAAGGCCATCGTTTTCAACAATCTTTTGCCACCGATCTGCAAGCATCCGGATTTGATTGAAGTACCATTCTGCCGGCTTCGAATCGAAGAACTCCTGGCACGCTTCCTCAACTTGATCAAATGACTCGAATCGGCGACCACGCAAAAAGTGCTCCATTGATCGAAAGAGGCCGTAATCGGACGGCGCAGCGTCGGGACTGTAGGCTGGGTGCGGCAAGACCTCGACTTTCTCCAGTTCGTCAAATTTCTCCTTTGTTTTCTTGGCGGTGTGGGGTTTAGCGTTGTCTTGCTGGAACAAAGCGTGTTTGCGACGAACGAGGGTCGGGTACTTCTCCTTCAGCTTCTCATAGACACGGTCCAGTTGTTGGCAGTAGAGTTCGGCGTTCACGGCATGGCCATTCGGAACCAGTTCAAAGTGAAGCATGCCCTCAAAGTTCCATCAGACGCAAATCATCACCTTCTTGCCGAAACGATCTTGACGCGGAACTGATGGCGGATCTTGGCCTCGCGGAACCCACTGCTTCTGCCGGTTGTGATTGACCAAGTAGACCCATTTTTCGTCCGAAGTCACAATACGCTTTCAAAACCGATCATCCAATGGATTTTCCAACAATTGACGGCAGACTTCAACACGACGCTTGGCTTGCACTTCGGTCAACTCGTGCGGATCCTGGCGAGTCTTCTTGTGCACAAAATCAATTTGATGCAGGTGATTGAGCACAGTCTGATGGGACGAGACTCCAAGAACCGACGTCAATTCACGGCTGCTCGATGAAGGCTCATCTTCCAAGGCTGCCCGCAGATCTTCGTTGCCCAACGTTGATAGCCGGCCAGAACGTGATTGATCTTCGAGACTAAGGTCACCGGAATCGAATCGTTTGTACCACCGGGAAACAGTTGTGTAATGGACGGTTCCTTCGCCTCCAGCATCACAAATCTCTTTCGCAGCATCTCTGGTCGAAAGTCGTCGCTTCCAACAATAGCGTATCAAGACTCGAAGCTCGATTTTGTCCAATGTCATCTGAAACTTTGAGGATAAAGATGAACCCTGTCACATCTTCAGGCCGAGATTGATGTCGAGCAGAAAGGAGACACGATTCAGAAGAGCTGGTTTATTCACAAGTGAACACTGAGTGACTGATTGGGAAAAATGACAGTGACAAACAGGAAACACCGGTATATATAATATGAAAATTGCGCAATAACATTACGCAAGAACACGTCATATGTCCGAGTAGAGTGCATAGAAAGTTCTAGAAGGTACATGCAATATTGAACAATGAATAGAGAGAGACGGCCAAGTAGACAGACACGTGACTGTTTAGTCACTACATCACAAACCCGAAACACGATAAACACAAAAACAACAAAAATTGTGCATAAAACACACAAAAAATTAACAAAAATGCGCATAAAAATCAGCTTTTTCGCAAGTGTTGCAGAACTTTTTGGCCAACCTAATATATAGTGATATTGGTATTGCTCGTTTTACGTGAAATCTTTCAATTATTTATTATAATCCATCAACACATATTTCTATTGTTCGATGTCTTCGTGATGATAAACATATGTTACAAACAGTAGCAACATTTATTTCTCGATTAATTAATGATCAAATTGAATGTTCAATACAAACACTTCATGTTGGTGAAAGTATTAGACAATGTAAAAAACATTTAGTTAATTATTCTATTGAACAATTACTTTATATAAATGCACAATCAATTAATCAAAATACAACAACAACAACAACAACATCTCAAATTTTATTCAAAAATAAAAAAAAGAACATAAATAATCAACAACAGCAACAACAACAACAATTAATGGATATTAATCATGATAAACAATTAGCATCACAAAAACTTTTAGCTGATAGTCGAATAGAATCAAATTCGATTATTGTATCGAAAAATGATGATGATAATGAGGATTTTGGAAAAAGAAAAAGAGATGATAAATAAATATATAAAGATTGTTCGATATTCAACAAGTATAAAGTATCTATTACTATAAAGATGAAAAGAAAAACTGAAGCATTTTAAGTTTATGTCTACGACAGCAATTGTCGGAAAAATAACATTTAAAAATTTTTTTTGGAATAAAAATAAAAGAAAATTTCGTACAGCTTTTTGGTAAGTAATAATTAGAATGAATTGTTCGAATATGTGTCGTCATAATGGCTTGAAAAAGACAAAGATGCACAATTTTATTGTTTATTTGAGGTATCTACGCTAATGAGAGACTTTGAATTCTAAAACAACTTTCAAGTCCAAAATTTTTTTTATCCGATTTTGATTTGATAAAAAGTCGACTTTGTGTATGCTTAGCTTGTGCATAAATACTTCACTAGTTTTGCTAATTCAGATCATGAAATAATCCTGACCATACAGGGCGTTTCATAAGTCTTGGGCCGCTACAAAATTCATTTATATGGACACATAGAACCATGTCTCATGATTATGTTTCTATATCAGTTTCGAGTGCTTGTGACGGGCTTTCAAATGATATATAATTGAATAAGATCATCCCTTTTAATAATAAAAATATAAACATGAGAATGTGATGATAAATTTTTCGAAATCGACTAATATGATGCATGGTGTATCAAAATGTTTGCAACATTTTTTTAATTTCGTATATATCTTAACGTGGTGAAATGATAAAATCTTGAATTTTTTTAAAAAGATGCGTCGTGAAAAGTTCTACAAAAAATGTCTGAACAAATACTTACTGACTTGTTTTGATGACCTACTTTATACTAAAATGAACAATGTTCATGATGGTGCTACTTCCCAACGTATTCAGTATAATAACAAATATTTTGAAGACTTTTTTGTTTTACAATTGAGGTCTGTTTGCACAGATTTTGTAGAGCTTTCCATGACGCATCTTTTAAAAAAAAATTCCAGATTTTATCTTTATCTCAAGCTGAGATACATGCAAAACAAGAAACTATTCGAAATGTTTTTTATTATACTCAATATAATGTGAAGTAGCACCATCATGAACATTGTTCATTTTAGTATAAAGTAGGTCATCAAAACAAGTCAGTAAGTATTTGTTCAGACGTTTTTTGTAGAACTTTTCACGACGCATCTTTTTAAAAAAATTCAAGATTTTATCATTTCACCACGTTGAGATATATACGAAATTAAAAAAATGTTGCAAACATTTTGATACAACCTGCATCATATTAGTCGATTTCGAAAAATTTATCATCACATTCTCATGTTTATATTTTTATTATTAAAAGGGATGATCTTATTCAATTATATATCATTTGAAAGCCCGTCACAAGCACTCGAAACTGATATAGAAACATAATCATGAGACATGGTTCTATGTGTCCATATAAATGAATTTTGTAGCAGCCCAAGACTTATGAAACACCCTGTAATCTATGATTCATTAAATAGCTAAGATAAGTTTTTTCGAAATATTTATGCTTGAAATGAGAAAATTTGAAAGCGTAACCTGTCTTTGATCGGCTCACCCTACATCGATAAATTAGTTCGACGACAAAATAAATAAAAATGGTTCAAAAGTATGTTATTCTTATGATGAACATTTGTTTCAATAAAAAGAAAATGAACACAAGCACAGAAGAAAAAAATGAAAAATGAAAAATCAACATTACATTTTTTCTATTTTTTTAAAAAAGTTCATATACGACGATTTAATGTTGTTTTTCAGTTCAGCATTGCTTATATGCTCCTCACCGAAGTCATTTATTGCAGTGTGCACCTGATGTATTACTTGATCGAATAGTTGATGATATTTAAATGCTTTCGTCTTTCGATCATCCTATAACAATAAAATGGTCAAATAAACAAAGGACACCCATTGAAAAAATGTAAAGATTAAAATCAATTGGAATTTCGAAATTCTATGGGCCTAATTGTAATTAGTACTCTGATGATTCTGGAACAAAATCAAGCTGTTAATCGATTTTAATCAAAATTATAACCAGTATCGATTGATTATTAGAACCTTCTAATCAATTGATATTTATTATAATTTTGATTATAGTCGATTATTATCCATTAGAAGAGTTTTAATCGATTAAGAAATCCGATTCTTATCGATTATATATTCTTATTTCATTTTAATAATGCAAAAAAGTCTTCGTAATGATTCTATAGTAAAAGTTGATTTAAAATACGATATTTCATAATTGAAAGGCAACTTCTTACAGGTGATGGTGGAAGATCTTCTGCCATTAATTTTTGTTTTGTTTTTTGCTATTGATAGATGAGAGAGATTTTTATCGATGTTTGAAAAAGAGAATGGTGAAGCTAATAAAAAAAATGGCTTGTTTGTACAAGTCAACTGGCTACGAATGACCGACGAGTAATGTATGCAGCGCCGTCAAACTATATTTGCGTTTTTCCATTTTTCCTCTTTCTCCCTTGTGTTAAGGAGGACAGGAAAACAAATAAAATCTGATTCTCATTTCGATACTATTGGTTAATTTCCGCGTTGATCGATGTCGCTAACTTGCTTCCCATTCTTTCCTCTTTCTCATTGTTAACGTTTAAAATACATTTATACTCAGTTTTATTTTCAATGTAACAAATAAACAATGAAAATCGTATTTCTTTATTTAGTTATTCATAGAAAAACTGTTAAATATGAGTGGAAAAAATTTGGATCTAGGACTCATCCGGATCTAGATGCAGAGATTCACTTTGATATAGATTTGGGTCCAGAAGAATGTAAACCCACAACTCCTTGATGTGAATAAAAACAGAAACTCATTTGTCTAGTTGTCTCAAATATACAATGGTTGCAACAGTCATCTGATAACTATGGTTTAAACAAATATGGAAGACAAAATAAACTAACTCGTGTTGTTAATGTTGATGTTGTTGCTGATGGTGCTTCAATTGTATCAAAATAATCAATAAAATCTTTTGTTGTTTTAATATCTGTTGCAAGTGCGTGTTTTGAAAAGAATATCTGCAATAAGAAGAAAAAAAATATTAAAAGAATATACGAAATGTTTGTAAAAAAATCTTTATTACTTTTTCTTTTTCATACCAGCTTTTACAATCTGTACTGATGGAAGTAAACTGATTTCTGTGAAATATATAGAGATGTTCAAACATGATTTTCAAGTTGTTGAAATCGATAACACAAGAAAAATCAGCATTACATGGCATTTCTCGAATAGCTAAACATTTTAATCTTTTTGTTTTTGTTTTTGTTTTTACATCATCTAAATACAATGATAAAAGAAAAAACCATAAATTCGTATTTATTTTTAATTTAAGTGGATTTTGAACTTACTATATTCGAAGAAGCCAAAATCAATTGACCGATTTTGTTTCATAAGTGTATGAACAGCAACTTCAAATAAGTTGACTAATCGGATTTACTGTATGAGACATTATGATCACAACATATTGGAATAAATATACGAAATAAATAAAATAAATCAACTGATTATTTTTCTAAAATAAAAAAAATGTGTATTATTTTTAATATAATTATTAGATGATTCTTCATACCAATAATTTTGTTGGATAAATGATATATAAATAATAATAATATTGAATTTGGTAGGTCAATAGACTACTTTATCTAAAATAAAAATTTATATTCGTTATAATCGAATCATTAGGCAAAACGCTTTGTATACATGTGCAGATTAAAACATGCGTATATTGTGAGAGAAAGAAAAGAAAGAAAATAAAATAACTATAGAAGATAACGTTTAAAAAGTGATTTGTTTGTTTTATCAAATGGATGAATTTAATAGTTTATATCAATTTCTATTGATTGATCTAACAAATGAGTTTCTAATAAAAAAAATGTGGAAACCTCGGATTTAAATCCGAGAGTTATGTGTACTTCAAAAAGTGAGTGAGACAGATTAGTCATCCTAGAATGTGGGGATATAAAAATGATCCTGGCAAACCTTATCTATAAACACTTGATTTCTATTGGCTACTGCTCAACCACTAGGATTTACAGATGAATACAGCTCAGATTTGAACTCTTCGCCTTGATTTACCCTAGGAAAGTCGTTTTTCCGATAACTTGATTTCTATTGGTTACTGCTCAACCAATAGGATTTCGAGGCAAACGGAGCTCAGATTGGAGTTCTCCAACCCAGAAAACCACGAACTGTCATCTCTATGATCGAAAGGCAGAGCTCTAATTGTGGCTTAATTAGAGTGTGGACACAAACAGAACCAATTCCCGTTTAATTACCCTTGCAATAGTATACCATTTTGTAGCTCGTGAAATTCTCTATCGATTGGTATATAATAGTTGGGGTTTTATTTGACTATAATAGGAAAAGTTTTTTACGAAAGCGGGATAGGTCGATTTTCACATAGGAAGGCATAGGGAAAAATGACTATTTTTCCAATAACTCACCAACGGCTCGGCCAATCCTTCTTATCTTCGAACTCGACCGAGATATTATTGAGACTAAACTGTGTAGAAAATTTCATCGCAACCGAACTCTCCTTTCAAAAGTTATCGTGTATACGGACGGCCGGCCGGACACACTGACCGATTCTAGAGTGTACTCACTTTTTGAGTACACAAAAAGAAATATAGTTCAACTAGAACAACGAAGTTTTCATTTATGCGAATGAATAAAGCTTCCGAAACTAACTCCTCGCCGTGTCCTATGGGACAAAAAGAGGGCATCCGCAGGGCCTAAGGGGCAGTTCCTTAGTGCGCTCAAGGATGAATTTTTTTGGACAGCTTGATAAAAAATTAAACATAATTGTTGACAGATTGATCTTGATCAAACTGTCTAAAAGAATCGACCGGCAATGTCAGGACACATGAGTTTGTCATAGTTTTGGGAAGAATAACATTGAGGAAATCTGAAACGCAGCATACTTACCCTTTTGATTGTCTTCATTTTGTAGTTCCAGACAAATTCTGTCAATTCCGAAAAATAATTATATAGGTTCTATGGAAAAAAAGTGAAGATAATTGAGTCCTCATAATATAGGACTCGAGGACCTAAGAGCACCCTCACAATATAGGACTTGAGGACATAAGGGTACCCATATAATATAGGACTTAAGGACCTAAAGGTACCCTAATATAGGACTTGAGGACCAAAGGGTATCCGTATAATATAGGACTTGAGGACCTCAGGGTACCCTTATAGTATAGAACTTGAGGACCTAAAGATACCCCTATAATATAGGACTTGAGGACTTAAGGGTACCCTTATAATATAGGACTGGAGGACGTAACGATACCTCCTTAATATAGTACTTGAGGACCTAAGGGTACCCTTATAATATAGGACTGGAGGACGTAACGATACCTCCTTAATATAGGACTTGAGGACCTAAAGGCACCCCTATAATACAGGACTTGAGGACATAACGATACCCCCATAATATAGGACTTAAAGACGTAAAGGTACTTAAACACACCCCCCCCCCCTTCCTCGGAATAGGTCAATATTGGTACAGGAAAAAGTGAATGAGACAGATGAGTCACCCTAGAATGTGTGGACATCAAAATTGTCCTGGCAAACCCGTCCTGTAAACACTTAATTTCTATTGGCTATTGCTCAGCCAATACGATTTGGAGGCAAATACAGCTCAGATTTGAACTCTTCACCTTGATTTACCCTAAGAAAGTCGTTTTTCCTATAACTTGATTTCTATTGGTCACTGCTCAACCAATGGAATTTCGAGGCGAGTGGAACATAGATTCAAGTTCTCCATTCTAGAAAACCTCGAACTATCATCTCTGTGATGGGAAGATAGCGCTCTAATTGTGGATCACATAGAGCGTGGACAAAAACAGAACCGAATTCTGTTTAATTATCTTTGCAATAGGCGAGTTAGCTTTCTTGTTTCTTTATGTTTTATATACCATTTTGTAGCTCGTGAAATTCTCTATCGAATGGTATATAATAGTTGAAGTTTTATATGACTGTGATAGGAAAAGTTTTTTATGAAAGTAGAGAAGGGTCTATCTTCTCATAGGGAAAAATGACTATTTTTGCTATAACTCAGCAATGGTTCGACCAATCATTCTCATCTTCGAACTCGACCGAGATATTGTTAAGACTAAACTGTGTAGAAAATTTCATCGCGATCGGACTCTCCTTTCAAAAGTTATCGTGTTAACGGCCGGACGGCCGGACACACTGACCGATTCTAGAGTGTACTCACTTTTTGAGTACACAAAAAAGCAGATATGTTCTTGAAAAAGAATTTCTTTAATTATGTAGCATTTCAAATTTTGATTAATATTTAGTGTAAAAAAAACCTTTTCTGCAAATAAATAATGAACTAATAAATTATCAAAAGGAGATTAATGTTTTCTAGTCGAAAGCTAACTGTACGCAAAATAAACTTTTTTTAGATAAAATAATAAAGATATTGGCATTTTCGTGATCGAGTTAATTAGTTTCTGCAGATGACGAAGCAGCCTGTATGAAAATGGTTCTTGAATACAACAATCGGCAAAACAAAATATACATAAATGGACAAGAATGAGATCTCTATCTTTCTAATGTGTTAAAAATCAAAGCCGGATGAGTGGCAAATATACGATGAATTTATACAACAATATCCTTTGATTTATATGAATTTTGTTTTAATAGAAATTGTTAAATGAAAAAAAAACATTTGAAAATATAATGGTTGATGAATTTGTGCAAGAAATTTCACTAAAAGATGGCGATAAAAACTTCTATTTTTTCAAATATTGAAATAATTTTTTTCATGCGGCTTTTGAGTCTGATCCTAATTGCAAAAGTAGTGCTTACTCATCTTCGTCAATATATATCAAAGCGCGAAGAATTTATTGTGACAATAGTTTTTGTCTAAATGTTGTTAGTTTAAAATAAATAAAAAAAAATCTTATTCTTAAAAAAATATCAGCCGTTTCAGATATGAGTGATGATATTAAAACAAAACAAATAAAAGATGTATTTTTGACTAATTTTGTAACTGCTTGCCGACACAAAAGTAGTTCATATGGTATTATTGATTAGATACTAAATAAACAAGAATCATTTAATTAATAATGAAATAAATCAAATACGAGAAAGAACTTTTTATTGGTATAGATTATTTTAATAGACGCAATGAATGACATTGAGTATGAGTTTGTTAAATAGTATTTCAAATCAACACTATTAAATGTCTTATTTTGATTTTTGTTTAAAAGGTTTCATGATGAAAATTTTCATGAAGAATATACACAAATATATTTCATTGCACCAACACAATACTGTAAAACCGGTGTTATAAGAAAACCAATCAAACAACCTTATTGCATAATAATTTGTCTTCGTAAAAGTAATAATATAACAGTCTAAATTATATGTAAATGTTCCAATAAGTATTTAATGTTTGACATAATTGATTGGTTTTTATTAAATAAATAAACATATATATATATATTAATGATCTCATGCAACTCTTAAAGGTTCATTGTGAATTATTTCATATGATTTGGTTTTTTTTTAATTTTATTTGCAATTCAAACATTGAATATTACACGTTCTTTCTTTTTTTAACCTTTCGTATTTTTTGTTATCATTAATATCATAAAACGAAAAACTAACATCCGTTTACTCTAATCCGACTCAACACATAAAATTAAAATAAACTACGATATTATTATAATTTTTATTATAGAAAAATAAAATGCAGTATTGTTATTGATTACAAAATCAATTATTGATGGATACATATTCTAATAAAAATATATTGATCGATTCATGATATTTTTGTTTAGTCGTGATTTTTTCTTATTCTATTAGACAAGAATCATGCTGTATAAAATTATGTATGCAAGAAGTGTGACGACATGTATTCACACTGGAGAGAGAAATTTAATATAACAAACAAACGATTTCTTTTTCTTTCATGTTGCTTTTATCAAACAACGACTACATATAGCGGAGAAAGCTGTTTTTTATCACTTCTTCGTATTGAAGTTATTTCGAATAGACTCTATCAATAAGCAATAATAGAGACAGCAGCGAGTCTGATTATTATTAGTACTAGTGCTATGGCTGTGCTAGTTAGTACCATAGCTGCAATTGAATTTATTTTTACTCCACAAAAAAATATAAATCAAACAGATGAGAAACAACATGAAGAACTATACAAACCCGATTGTCATCCTATGTATGTGTACGGTGTATTGGGTCACTCTCCACAGCCTTTGATTTCAATGTCTCGAAAGGAAATGTGAAGTAAATTATTCTGATTATTAAATATTCTTAAACATATGCGTTAGCTATAATAAAAGCAATTGTAAATATATTAATATTCTTTTCTTTTAATTTTATATTATAATTCAATCATTTGAATCTTTATCTCAAGA